GAGCTTTTCAATTTAGTTGGCGTGAATTGGACATATGAAATTTGCCTGATTTTTGAATTTTCATTTTTTATGATCATGTCAAAATTCGAAAATTACATGCCATACGAACACTACTGCTTTAGTCTGTCTTAACTTACCTCGGACACCATAGTAGTGAACATTGTATCAAACTTGTATGTTGTGCAGTTATCACAGCATCTGTTCACTCCTCCGCATGTCACGTTCTCAGTTGTGCACTCAAAGTTCGGTGTTCCAGTAACAAAAACCAAATGAGAGAACTGTATATTCTGTGCCACAAGGATCATACAGGTTCCAAAAACCACTTTCTTTTGGTAGCTACCAAATGGATTCACGTGGTGGAAGATATCATCGTACTCGACATACCTGGTCTCTTCCATGTCTGCCAGCTCAAGGTTGAAAGGCTTTTTTACAAAGTGGAAGCCGGGATGATACGATTACGAACTAGAAACCTCCTGCCGTAACAGTCCGGTCAGTAGGTGGGTTCTCGGTGCCTCCCCTCCCTCTATGTTTTTTATTATTGTTGTTGTTGTTAGTGGACCCACCTACCCTCAGTCCGCCTAATCTTCACCCCCCTGTCTACAGGATATTTTTCCAAAGTTCGTTTTCAGAGKACAAAATSAAAATWTCGAAAAGTCATTTCAAATATATATTTTGATTTTTCATTTTTGAATTCGAAAATTGAAAATTGACATTGATGAGATAATTTTCGAATTTTGACATGATCATAAAAAATGAAAAGTTCAAAAATCAGGCAAATTTCATATGTCCAATTCACGCTAACTAAATTGAAAAGCTCTTTGTAGAGTGTTACACGGACCGTTACACGGACCTTAACCGCCCCGGGCTCAGGAGTGTGAACGAGCCTTACGAATGTAAAGTAAAGCAAGTGTTTTGGCAGTACTTGCCAGCGGTTGAGCGGGTTATCGTTTGAAAATTCCAAGATGGCGGCTGAAAGGTACGAAAGCGACTAAAAAGGCGCTAAAAATTGAAAAAAATCATTCTGCCGTGTTCCCTTGAGCATGACCTATGGTTATCAGGTCTTTGTTTGCTTTTGATGTTGAACCGGTCTTGACCGTTCACAATCTTTGATTTATGTTCATCCGAAATTGCAAAATAAGTAAACATAAACTTTTTCAATGGGATCGTTGTAAGGAATATTCAAATATCTCTTATAAATCTCTAAGTAATTTGAACTAGCAGCCAAAAGAAAGATTTATGGTAAAAGAATGGTAAAACAAAAGATTGTGCACGGTCACGCTTGAAAAAAGCGAACAAAGACAACAAAAGGGTTTCGTAACCATTTTCCTCTATTAACTATATGACCAGCTGATCGGAGTGGCCTGAATATCGATCGAAGAATAGTTCGAGGGAAAAGCCTTGACTTCAAGATGGAAAAAAGAGACATCTTTCTGTATGGGACAAGTGCATTCACAGCGTCAACTTTGATGGTACTGCTATACAGATACCTGAACCGAAGGCGTAAAAATGTCTACGAAACTCGCAAACTCGTAAATTCGTACTTAATGTTTCATTATGGTAATCCTAGCGAAGTGCTTGCTTTTGACTTCGGACCAAAAGATGCCATCGACTTTCCAGTGCGATGTGCAGAGATGTGCACTATGTACCTAGAGGTAAGCCAAAAAAAAGAGGCTGGAAAGTGTTTTGTGCCTTTACACACACTCACAATTATGAATTTAAAAATTTATATGGCTATGACATAACAGCAAGTATTAAACCTCATTGAACATGAAAAAATGACGTACGACATCAGAACCCTTAACTTCTTATGCCATCAAAAATACATACATACATACATAAACTTTATTTCCAATACAAATATAAAAGGAAACCAAATAAATATTAACCTAAATCAATTATCTAAAAAAGAATCTTATAAATAATGGAAGAAAAATTTGAAGCCTAAGAATATAAAATCATAGTCCTGCTTACTAAAATTAACTGTAGAAACAGATAATACCTTAAAATGAAAATCATTGAATTCTTTAATCTTACTTAATCTAAAATCTATTCTTCGTTTGCACGGTACGTCATCAGAGCCTTGTTGGTACCATTTAACAAAAGATTTCTCATTAGCATCTATTGTTAACGGTACCACAAATATATGGCCGCCATGTTTTTGTCTTTTAACTCTCTTGGGAATGCTTGCAAACCATCAACAGTTTAACACGTATCAAGAGCAATATCAGTTCTTTGATGTATTGTGTTCCACAGCACAACTCCTCTATAACTAATAGATTGTTCTAAGTTACGAGATGAAATCCTAGGTACAACAATGTTGTCAGACCCCCTTAGCAAATATTTCGACTTCGATTCCTCTTTTATCAATTATGCTCTCACACACACTGGTTTTGGTAAAAAATTATTAAAAGCACTATGAATTAATTTAAAAAGTTTAGTCTCGTAAATTTAAGCCAAAGAACTGCCATTTGGCTGTCTTGAGGGAGATTGTTCTAAGTTACGAGATGAAATCCTAGGTACAACAATGTTGTCAGACCCCCTTAGCAAATATTTCAACTTCGATTCCTCTTATCAATTATGCTCTCACACACTTGTTTCGGTAAAAAATTATTACAAGCACTATGAATTAATTTAAAAAGTTTAGTCTCATAAATATAAGCCAAAGAATGCCATTTGGCTGTCTTGAGGGAGTCTTCATGGGATGCAAGTTACTTTAAATCATAAATTTTTTCAGTGCTGCAAGGCAGTGGAGTTTTTCAATTGACCCAAAAAACTCAGATTTAATGCAGTTAGCCCATGTAACCAGACTAATTAGGTGACGGAAGGCAAGATAACACTAAAATAGAACTTTCCCAACACACTCTTGGGTAAGAATCTCGTTTTTCTCAACAAGTTGAGTTAATTTGCAAAACTCTTTTTAACTTCGGACAAATGTGGTGACCATGTCAGCTTATAAATGCTCATTGCAAAATCATAACTCAGGAACCAAAACATAATGGTTAGTTGTCTTTAAAAACTGGAATGTTCAAAATTTGTATCATAATCTTCTATTTGAAAAAGAAAAAATTCTGGGAATTCTTAAAAATCAATAAAAATTTGTTTAAAATAGTTCCCTCTTCCAGAATTTCCAGTTTTTCTTTAAGTTGTTGAAAACATAAGCCAATAGCCATATGCAAAACTTGAAGAAATTGCACTGTACAGCTTTATTGCTTTTACAGTTTGACTATTAAAATTTTTTAAGAACAAAATTTTTCTTGGCCTGACCTGCAGAAGCGATGAGACTATTAATTTTGAAGTTGATCCTAGTCTTTAAATCAATTCATGGCCTAACCCCTGAATATCTCATCGGTGAATTCAAACATGCCAGGGAAATCCATAGATATTGTACTAGGCAACAAGATATACTGCATGAGTCTTCCACTAGTTAAAACCGCCAAATGCCAAGGTAGCTTTCACATAAATGGAACATGCACTTTCAACCAACTTCTGTTAGATATTAGACATCAGTTCCAATCTCAGAGAGTCTAAGGCAAAGGCCAACCACCATTTTACAGGCTAGAAATAGTCAGTACCTAAATTTACGAGACTAAACTTTTTAAATTAATTCATAGTACATTGTCTAGTTTTGAATTCTCATTATTTGAAATTATTGTAATTTAACTTGTAATTATTGTAGTGTTTATTTACTTTGTAATTATATTTATTTTATGCAGGACTCTATTTAAACTAGCCTATGCTAAATTAGATGTTCCTGTTAAAATATTGAATAAAATAAACAAATAAAATAAACTATAGTTAAATCCATGGTCTGCATTTYGTACCTATAATATATTAAAAAGCTAAAAGATAGTTCCTTTGGTGAATTTGACTATGCTATTAAAGATGGACGAAACAAAAATCATTGTATGGGTAATAATTGAATAACCTTATAACAAGATTAAGTGTACCATAATTTTTTAAGCTTGTATTTAAAAAATTTTTATCAACAGAAAGACATTCCTAGTACTGCCATTGATATAGGATGTGCTGTTGGAAGATCAACATTTGAGCTTGCTAGACATTGCCAGGATGTTGTTGGAATTGACTACTCAAAAATGTTTATTGACAGTTGTAATGACTTGAAAATGTACGGTAAACTACATTATCAAGTTACAACTGAAGGCTGTTTGTACTCTGAACATGATGCTATAGTGGATGAAAGTATCGTGAGTATTAATTAAAACACCCACTTATAAAATTATATGATGTAATATATACAGTGTATATATACACTACTGCTATTATTTATTGTACTCACTGCATAGATAGGGGTGGTTCAATGGTTCAAATGAAACCCCCCTCTACCTTTGTAGGTGTATGATATAATGTTTATTGCAAGAAGAAATGGCATAACTAAGATTGCTAGAAAAACGAACCTGATCACCTTTCAAGGTCCTAGCCATTGGCCAGGAATCTCTTACAAAACAAAGAGGATTTTAGTCCCGGGGGGGACTATTTGCTATACGGCTATGTGCCGCTCTATAGGGTATGGTTTTTCGGCTTTTGGGTGTGGGGTAGGGTATCATTTTTGGGCATTTTGTCTGGGATAGGGTTATAATTTGGTCATTTTAGTCTGGGATAGGGTTAACGATTTGGTCGTTTTTGTCTGGCGAATAGGCTACGCTTTCTACAATAAAAACGTTAGTAAATATTGATTGCATACTATTGACTAACCAGGCTTAGTCTGGGATAGTGTGCACAGTTCTTAGTTATAGTTTGGGGTAGGGCATGTAAAATCAAAATTTTAGGTCTGGGATAGGGTCAGGGTTTTGAGATCCTGGTGACACACCCCTACCCAAGTTGGGGTGGTAGTACCCCCCCCCCCCCCTCAGTTATTCTCTTCATAACAAAAGATAATAATACTTCTTTATCTTGGGCATAAAGTTTTCCCCTTTTGTTTCAGAAGGCATAGAGAGTTTGTGATAGGCATAAACGAATCTATTACTGTCTGATGATGGGACACTCCACTACTGACACACATTTTTATCTGTGGACAATAAGCCTGAAGCGAGATGACGTTTTACCCCCGACTCTATACCACAATAGTTTTTAAAATTCTTTCATATTCAAATTTTTGATTCCATAGAGAATACAGGAACAATAGTCATAATTAAAGAACAAAAGCAGTGTGAAAAGGATTATGGTCTAGAGACAGGGTTAAAACGTCATCTCGCTTCAGGCTTATTGGTAAATTTTAGGTCCCTTAATATAAGGAGCTGCTAGTACAGGAACCCTTGTAGGTGTTGTTATCAGTTCAGTGATAAAGGTTGTAAATATTTTGATATTATCAAAATAATGTTTCTAAGTTGACTGGTGATTGTATAAGGCAACAACCCAAACCCCTTAGATAATATACTCAAATGATTTTGATCCACAGTTTCAAATATAATTCTTATGATGAGGCATCATTGCTCCATTTTCTTTCCCATTCATATCAAATTCTCATCTCGAGAGAGACTAGTACATGAAGGCCTGCAGTATGGGATTTGGGATTGGCAAGCATACCTTCATACCTACTATATTTGTAAGACCTATATATGTTCTTTATCTTTTACTAATGCTGTAACTAGCATCTTATTTTTTTATGTGTTCTTAGGATAGACGTCGAGTGTCATTTCTTTGTGGAGATGCGTGTAATCTTCCATCAGATCTGGGGCAATTTGGATGTGTCCTTGCTGCAAACCTTATTTGCCGGTTACAAAACCCCTATAGTTTCTTGGAACGATTGCCATCTCTTGTTGTACCTGGTGGAATAGTTGTTCTCACTTGTCCTTTCACATGGCTCAAAGAATTTACACCAAAGGTATATTTTAATTTCTAATTACTGCTTATTATGCCTCTGTTTTTTCCGACACTAATTCTTAAGAACTGTTTCAACTTCTAAGGAAAATAATAACAATGTATAGATGTAAATGTTCTTCTATTGTACATGTTCAAATGTTTTTTCCTGTTGCTATAGTTGCTATGTTAACCGCCACCCGGTTAGCTCAGCTGCTAAGAGTGTCGGTCTGGTGTGGGGTTCAAGCCTTGTGCTGACCAACACTCAGGGTCTTAACATAACTGAGGAGAAGGTGCTGCCTTTGTAATTACACCTGCAAACGGTTAGACTATCAAGTCTTCTTGGACAAGGACTTAAAACCATAGGCGGGCCCCGTCTGTCTTCACTATATAACCCTGTGTAAGGCGGACGTAAAAGAACAACTGAAGACGCTGGTGATGACCATCTTCAGTGCCCRTGCTAAACGCTACAGGGTGCACTGTAATTGGCCAAAAGCTGTTGTGGTGTCCCTTCTCTCATTGGAAAAGCTAATAAATACATGTAATTCCTTGGTGTCAGCCCTATGTTCCACAGATAGTTGCTATGCATAATCTTGTAAATATGCTAGCTGGTCGTTATCTTGACCTTGTAGATCTTTGAGGGGCATCGTTACTTCCTTGTGCAGGTTGTTGATTGGTTCTGATTGGCTGATGCTGATGACCATTATTCTGACCTTGTGTGTTTGAAACGGTTATGTCATCTCCCTTATCGTCGTTGTGCTGTACTATGTCTGTCAAGGTCCAATACTTCTTGACACGTGAGGCATTTCTTCTGTGCTTGTTGCCGTTTGCGTCTTGCAGAGCAATTCGTGATCCACGAATGGCTGTTATTGTCATAGGATCTTTCCTGCATCTCTGGTATTTGTTTCTTCGTTTTTGTTGCTCTTCTACCTTCAAGCTGTGAGGTGTGGCTCGACGCTTGTTGTCTGTGTACACTTTAGCTTTAACTTAATTGCTCAGCATCTCTCCGACGAACAGTGTCATCATCTGTGCTGGTAGCTTACGTATTGTAAATATATTATTGTTTTCCCAAGGCCCATGGATTGGACTCTAAGACTAAGAGTTTCGTAAGCAAAATTGAAGCAAATTGTAAATAAATATAATAATAATAATGATGATAATAATAATAATAATTTTTTTTTTCTCTAGCGCATTACTGATAGTTATGTCTGTCAATATTGGCTTGTAAGATATTGTTTAACCAATATTGTCCTTAATTTTTGTTTTTTAGGCTCTGTGGCTTGGTGGTTACAAAGATTCTAGTGGTAATCCAGTGAATAGTTTTGATACAATCAAGAGATATTTGGAACGAGACTTTGAGCTTTTGGAAACTAAAGACATGCCATTCTTTATCAGAGAAACTGCGAGAAAGAATCAGTGGAGTGTTGCTCAGACATCCATTTGGAAGAGACACAAGGCTTTATAAAGTATCTTTTGTCCATCAAAAGAGTAATAAAATGATGAAATGAAAAATTCTAATTATTTCTAAAACGCATGCATTTTTGACTTTTTGCTTGAGATCGATTGTATTTCAACGTCTAGCTCACTCGTAAATGAGAATTTTCTTTTTGAAAGGGTTTATTAATTTCAAAATATAGATTAAGCAAACTGTGAAGAGTCAAGCAATTCTGAGACGGAAATCCTGGGCATATTTCCCTCTCTTCAGAAGGTTGTACAAAAGTTTTGCAATTTCTGCATATTTTGGAATATAGACTTACGCCACCAGCCACATGCACATTCCCAGAAACTGACTGTACTTCTGAAGTGTCTTTTAAGGTTTTCCATTAAACTATATAAACTGATGTCTTTTCCAAATCCAGTGCAACACCATTTCTACTGATTTTGTGACCTAGCCAAATGACTTCATCTATTGCCAGATTGCATTTATTGTTTTGTCAATATAAGCCTTTTCACAGTTTAAGAATCGATTCCACTGCGCATGCGATTTTATCCCGAATTTCTCACCTTCTTTTGTCTAAACCTTCTTTTGTTCTTAAATAAACAAAAGAAGGTGAGAAATTCGGGATAAAATCGCATGCGCAGTGGAACCGATTCTTAAACTATGAAAAGGCTTATTCCACAAATCGATTAGTCCTCTATATGGATGATATCTGTATCATGTCCACATGTGTCCAGGACTTTTGAAGAACATTTACAACAATTGCAGGAGGTATATATTGAATGTTTAAGAATTAAAAAAATAGCTCTACAACGTGGTTATTTAAAAATGCTCGTTGCATGAGACAATACCATGTGGCAGAGCTATTTTGAGTCCTTGTAGCATTCGTGTCTATTGCTGGTTTTCACATGACGTCATCAAAACATCAAAATCTAAACTATAGATCGTATGAGGACAATTCTCAAGTATGTTTTAATAGTCAGTGTTATAAGTCACAAGAAAAAATCTCGTGTCATTTCGATGTTTGGTTCCCGAGTTATAAAGGTTGAGTTTGTGTCACGCATCAACTGGCCGTCACATCTATCTAAATGGCGATGAAAATATTAAAATAATTTACTTTAGTTGAAAGATTTTCCCTTAGACACGTTTAAAATTTCTATTTAAAGTATGTGTAAGTGAAAAATAGTCAAACATTCCATCATTTTAAGCCTTTAGAATTTCGTCCGCCATGATGGTGTACCAACTTGGAACACCAAGATGGCTGCTCCATACATTTTAACCAAAAATTGCGTCATGTTTATTCGCTTATAGTTCCGCAACGAAATGCTTTACAGCCCTAAAATTTAACCAGTATATGTAGTTTGGACCGCTTTACAAGAATATAAAACTTCTGTTTCATTATAATGCGAATGTACGCTTTTGAAATCTATGATGACGTAGGTGAAAACCAAGAATTGCCAATAATCCGCTACGCGTCGTGGTTTCCTTTTAGTCTCCCTCGGTCGTCACGCAACGCTCCCTCCCCAGTGACGACCGACACTAAAAACGGATGCGAGTGAGACTATAGTTTCCTACGCTCCTCTCATGCTCTCTCAACATCCCGCGTGTTTTGATCAGAGTATTAAACACGGAAAACTGTTTCTGATCTGTTAATTGTAAAATAATTGGGATACTACGCGCGCTATGATTGGTCGAAAACCATGTTTGATGAGAGTATCAAAACACGCTATCATCATTTTAGCGCGTGAATACCACGATGGTTACTGGAGTCCAAGTAAAGTAACTGGCATTATATCAAAATGTTTAGATTGTGATGCAGTCAAGCTCCAACCGCCATAGATCGCTAATTTGACTTCGATCGCTCACTGAAAAACTTTCTTGAGAATGAAAACGATTAGGACTTTATTTATGAAGTGCTTCCCTTGCATGAATTTTCCGAAAAAGTTTTAAAAATTAAGTTTACAATACTTATAGTACACTCAACAAAATTACTCGACTCTGATTGGTCGAGAGGAGTACAATTATACCGTTAATTGTACTCCGTTGGAGTACCGAATTAAGTCGCTATGGCAACACGGCCAAAATAATGTCAAAACAATTATTTTCTATCATTTCGTACTTAAAAAACATAAATAAAATTTTAAAGCCGTATAGTCTAGAAGCTAAGTCTGAAAAGAGGCTTATTTTTCAAGTTGGCTGCACCCCATGGGTGGCCAAGGTTTCTTGGTATCATTTTAAAGCTTGAAGCCTGTAGATTACGAATCTGCTTGTCGCCACTTGAAAAAAGTGTCCAAACAGCTTGGCGACCTGGCCTAAAGTACATACTTTCT